TATCCGTGAAAACATCGAATCAATAATAATTTTGAAAATTTTTTTTTATTTATTTACTGAATAATATGAAATTCTGTTACTTGGACAATGGTTATAGGGAGGTAAGATCACATTCACACTATTATTATTATTACATTTTTTAGCGTAAATGAGAAACGAAAAATGGCAGACAAAAAAGTGTTTAGAACGATCTGCTCGCATCATTGATGTTATATCATTGACTGCCGATATATTTGTAGATTTCAGCGTCTGAAATCTGAAACATAATTTTTTTGTATTTCTTATGAAAAAAAAAGAACTGCTGGATAAAAATAATAATTTTTACAATTACATAAAAGTTTATTTTACATTTGAATTTACCGATTCAATAGCCAGGGATACTGCAAACGATCGGGATCTTATGTCCCTGGGTGGTGTTGTTTTAAGAGCTTTACAGATATTGGAATTTCTGCTCTACTTTTTTTTTAATTATCTATTTCTAATTGTTTTTATTAAAAAAAAATAGTTTAAACCAAAGTTTATGACAAAATATTTTTCTGGAACACAAGCGTGTAAATACACTTGTCTATACTTGTTATTATTTATTTACTAAGGGATCGTTAACATTTGTATTTGAGGCAGTAAACAAAAAAGGGGTTAAATAACCTTTGTTAAACAAACAGCGGAATAAACGTCACAAATGTACAAAACAGTGTTTTACTGCTTTATGTTATCTAAGATAATCAAGGAATTAAGTCAAGGATGTTCAATGTAAATTAAAATCTTATAATACGGTATGCATACAAAGTGGCCATGAAGCTAATAAATTATAAAACTGGGGCCAGACTTGGGTCGTAAACGAGAGACAGCATCGAACAGACCAGTCGGTGCCTCTCAGTCTGTCTTCTTTGCCCTTTATATCTCGACGCCTTACATTGTATACAAGATTTTAATTATGTTTGTTTTTACGAATATGGCTGTAAAGAAGTAGATTGGGTTTGATAAATATCAATGCAATAAAATAATTATTTTGGAATTATATGTATCAGTAACGATACGCTTGAACGCAAGGAGAAATTTAAGAACCTTACAGTACATACGTCCAATTATTCTTTACGGATTTTAAATTAGGCCTCATAGGTTCTTAAATGACGTCTTGAGGTTTTGAGAAAATAGAAAATTGCATGAAATATTTGACTCACACACAGAAAGAGCCGGATGAGTCGAGAATTAAAATTATCTTGCATGCTAAGTTGGCCGCAATTCAGATGAGAAGATTGTGTTTGATCTTATTTAGCAGATTTGCAGCTCGGAAGATTCCGTTGAGTAAACCATGTTGTGAAAACACCCTTCGAACTTCAGTTTCATTAGGTTAAGTTATTATATTCCAGGATTTCGCATTCCTCAGTACTTGCAGATAATATTCACATTTACTGACTTAGTGAGTGAAGAGTTAGTCTCCGTTTAAGTTACATTTAAAATTTTTTATAGTTCCAGGATGTTCCCAAAAGGATTTGCGTACTGGATTCCTGTAAATGTTTTCATAGAAAGCTCTATTATCGGAATAGATACTAAACTGCACTCGAAGAAGGCGCTATTGCAAGAAACTGTAATCGGAAAAATATCACAGCTCTCCGATCGATAAAGTTGGTTTGATTCTCTATCCGATATTTGGTATTTCCTTTTCTTTTCACCAGCTACTTTCTGTAAAATCTCATCAGATGGCAACGCTTCGTTCGATGAATGACGGTGACTTATTTTCCCATGTTTCTGTCTCTTTGATTTGAAATTCAACCGTATTAAAGACTCTTGTTATTATTATAACTAAATGGTTTAATTAAATTAAAATATGTATACTATTAAAGTGGCGATTTTTTGGATCTTGATATTAAGCCAGAAGAGATTTTTGGATTGTTTTATTCTTTTTCAACAATGGCTGGTGGTGATGGGGCAAAATAAATTAGAAGAAATCTTAATAAATTATAAACCGTGGACATAAGCCGAATGTATGAGACCTTAAGGAATGGCTATCACTGAGTTGATAGGACAATAAGGCCTGTGTTGTGCTGGTCCAGGGTCTCTACGCATTTGTCTACGCATCAGCGCACAGTGGTTCATAGCTCGATTTTCATTGTAATTCTGTATTTCATTTAATGTTTATGGAATTTTATTGTTTATTCTCTTTATACTGTTACTATTAAATATACTAACATGTCTATAGAATTAGAATAACATAAAATTTGAAAATTAAATATAATTTAAAAAATAGCAATTTAAGATTTATTAAACGTTATCAAATACGAATCACTTTCGTACAAAACATAAGACTTTAAGGGTTTAAGCTTTTATAAAATTTAGTTTTAGTTTCTAAAGACTTTAGTTAGTTCTATAGTTAATTCCAGGCATCCATGTTGTTTTATTTTCTATAGACACTCATAGCATAAAAAAAATTAAATATTATTTTTAGTATTATTTATAGTATCACTTTAAGCAGTTTATGCCTGGTGTGTGCTTGATTATTTGAATTTTTTAATTGTCAATTCAGCAATTTGATTTAGGCGAAGTTTAATTTAGTAAAAATTTAACACATGATTACTATATAGATTTGAAAAACTGAATTTAAAACATTAGTTGGTAAAGATCTACCATCGATGTCATTTGCTCATGTCAATAGAAATTGAATCTGATTTATTTTATGGGTCACTTAAGTTTTTATTTCAGATGTCAGTTAAGTTAAACCGTTGCTTTCATTTTTAAATTGTTTGTTTTGTATATTATTGTCTATTTTTTTTTCTTCGAATTTTAATCTGCACCTGTCGACGCACTGTTGACAATCGGCAGATGGTCTGATAAAAATAATGAAATTGACGTCAGGCACGATGAAGAATAACACTCAGCAGTACCTCTTCCCTGGCTGGATTAAATTATTATTATTATTTTAGGATTTAGTTTTTTCTTGGCTTTCGCCAGAAATATTCATCTACACGGACCTAGGTCAAGGGTTAGGCTCACATTTTAGACTATGTTTAAAAATGTTCTGACGATATTCGCCGTGCCAAGGAGAATTGGTTTCTACTCTTCCAATACTTTTTCTGGTAGTTTAAATTTCTCAATAAAGCGGATGGTATCTTCTGGAATGAGGCCATTGCTGAGGATTACTACCGGAAATGCTTGTATATGATCCATCAGTCTATAAAGTTGCCCAAGTTCCTGGCACATCGCTTGATACTTTCTGATCTTTTCCGATATTATCTTAGGGACCGCAATATCAATGACATAATCAATCACTTTTTGTGTTTCATTATTATTGTTATTATTATTCGATATGAGAATATATATATATGAATTTTTTCTTTTAATTTTTTCCATTTATTTTTCTTGTAATTTTATTTTTATTGTCCATTTCATGCTCCTTTGAAAGTTTTGGCCAAGGATTTCGTATTTTTTCGCCATGGACAGTCCAATAAAAGTCAAGAGGTTTTTAAACAATATTTCAGATAATATCTTCCAGAAGAGATGTAATCTCATAACATTAAGACCAAAGCCATAAAAATACAGAAAAAAATAAATTTTTTTCAGGCAAGCGTCTCTATTACTTCATCTCAATCCACCATTTTCATTTTATTTGTCTCCGCTTATATTTTTCTCAGAGCGTTTGACGCATTAAAAAAAATGTTCCTAAATAAATAACAAGATCAAATTTACATTTCTCAATTCAAATCCAAAAGTCCGATAAACAAAAACTTGTTGACCCTTGCGTAAAAGATATTAAAGATAATGGAAACTATTTAATAAAATTATATTTTTGAGATGATACAGCTAATTTACTGTACAAATGTTTATTGAGTACGTATGAAAATAGTTGGGAAATCAGTAACCAATATTGGAATAAAAATAATATCGTTAAATCGCTTTTTATATCATCTGTTTCACACGATAGATGTAAAATGGGAGAAACTTAAATGAAAGCGAAAAAAGATATTTATAAGATGAACTAACTGTCCACACAAAATGATGATTTGTTCACCTGAAGGAATAAATAAACAAAAACCACAAATTGACAAATGTTGTTGGTTATAAACCAATACTGCAATCGACAAGCAGAGAAAAGTTATATGTTGAGTGGGTATATTTGAAACAAGTCCTTGAGTTGTTACAGCGAGAGAGAAAAAAAGAAGATTGAAAAACAGGCTGAAAAAAGAGTTAAAAAAAAACGCTAAAGTGTCATGGCGGGACATTGACTGAATATTATTATTCAACCGCTTTCAAATTTTCAGTCAACAATAATTTATAATAAAAAAAAATCATAATTTAAATTAAATTGAGGTGGCATATTATGATAATCCGAGACGGGACGCGTTTATATGAAGATTAAAAGGATACTGAATTCGGTAAAATTCAATAAGTGAAGATGTAACAATCTAGTGATATATCTCTGTCATACATAAAAATTAGGTAAATTATTTTGTAAAAATACTTAAAAAAATAATAATTATGCAAAATTTCTGTTAAAATAGGAATATATCAAATACCGTAGTTGTTATAAAATATTACATTTTTAGAAATGATCGAAGAAACTATAAATTATTGCCTTAGAAATATAATGATTTTGACTGATCTACTTTTTCAATATCATTTCAGACAGCCTTAAACACACCTATTTTCATTTGTGAAATTTAGACCGTTATCAAAACTTTTTTTTTTATAAAAGTCTAATCAATCATGGATTGATATACGAATGATCCAATGGATTGAACCAAGACATGCTGAATGCATCATTGTGATCTCATCCTTTTCTGCCAAGATGTAGGTTGAATTGGCAAAACATTGATGGATTTATGATTTGCAGGTATTTGAGATATTAAATGCTTTGAATATAAAAAACAGTAATAAAAAGTATTAAAATAACATCTGACCAGTGCCCTGATGTTATATATTATTACTTATATTATTGCTATATTATTACTGATAACTATATTTAGATTATTGAGTTTTATTAAATTTAAATATTTTTATTACAGTTGTGTGGACCTCATCGCCGTCCAACGAGGCTGAACTTCAGCTGTACAGGGTAATGCAGAGGGCCAGTCTCCTCGCATATTACGACACCCTCTTGGAAATGGGTAAGATACAATTTATGAAATAATATTCTTTATTTTGCATATTCAACCATTTTAATACTAGTGAAGTTTTGTATATCTAATTATTTAAAAACGTAAGTGTGTAAAAAAAATCACTGTTCTGACACAATAGTCCAATCAAATTAGCACAAAAAAGGGGCCTTACCTTGTAAAAGGTCGGGTAATTCAAATTTCTTTTTTACATTTTTAAGTATGTAGTGAATATAAAAAATCTCAGTTTCAGCCCTCGAAAGCTTACTTGATTATTTGCTGCAGTGCTCCGAAAAGCATTGAAATTTAGAAATTTTTTTGTTTACTCTAAATATCTCCTTTTTAAAGCGAAATAGATAAAAATGATTATATTTAATCATTATAAAATTAAAATTATATTTTAATTTTTTGTTCTTAACCCAACTGAAAGCAAACCATCGAGCTCTCAAAATGGGTAACATTTTGAAAATTCGCAAAAAAGATGTATAATTTTATATTGTTTAGCAATTTTCTGTTTTTATAGATAACTTAGCTCAAATTTTAAAATTATATACCAAAGTAGACACAGTTTACTACAGTATTTATTGGAAATATATTTTTCTTGCTTTTTAATTGCTAAAAAGTAATTGATTTTTTGAAATCCGAAAAAAATCCTTATAATTTTATTTTTAGTGTTTTCCACTCATTATAAAAAAACTCATCGAAAATCTTTCTTGATACTCTTAATACCACATTTATGTCAATTTTTGCCACATCATTCAGTACTTGTAAATGGCGTAGTTATAGTGCTATCTATAGAAGAATATAGGAAGCAATTTAAAAGAAAAAAAAATATGTATTTCATGTATAGGTAATTAAAAATAAAAATTGTTTTGGACAATTAAATTATTGTATTAATATTTGTTCGCTAATACAATCAAAATAATGTACCAAAAACGTTATTATATTAATATAACTTTATTATGCCATCTATGAGTACTGAATGATGTGGCAAAGGATTCTAGGCGCCTATGCTAGTGCCGCTTATCCATCGATTAGTGTATTTTTTAAGTAACTGATTTAAATATGGAGTCTGGCCCATCGTGTAATATACTTTTCAAAACTCCTCCCGACTACCGTCTATCGTTGCAGTCAATGGCTTATTGTCATCAAGAAAAACCTCAAAATTCTCTGAACGAGGTTCAAAATGGAGTTACAGAATCCTTCCGTTTAAAACTAATAGCTTTATTGCGAAGAAATCGCAATGGGTAAATTTTGAAGCTTGATAGTTCACTTCCTGTTGGTTTTAGATAAATGTTATGCACAAATGGTTGATAATTTTAAGCTGTTTAAGGTTGAATTTAACCATTTTTTTATCTATGTCGCTCTAAAAAGGATATATTTAGCGTAAACCAAAAGAAGTTCGAAATTTAATGGTTTTTGAAACCCGACCTTTTGCTAGGTAACATGTCTAATTTGACTGGGCTGTAGATTTCTCATATATCTTCCTTCATCCCAGCCTTTGGTTGATTCTCTGTGATTCCATTAAGGCAGCTTTGTTTTAAAAAGTTCATCCAGAATGGATTAAAGCTCTGGTAATATTAAGGGAATTGAGTTCTACAGAGAACAACTTAAAAGAAGAAGCATGGTAGATATAAAGATAGTCTGCTACGTTTTTCTACTAAAAATAAAATTTTAAAGCCACCTTATAATACTTATAATCGGGTTTGTTAATAGAAACCGTTGTTTCCAATTAACTCATATTACCTGGTGCACACTTATATTGCTTTCGTTATATTCTTTCAATCATAATTGGATTCCTTCTGCGGAATTCTTTGCAAAAAATCTTTACCACCGAGGTTAAATATATATTCGAATCGCTTAGGTTTCTTAATTAAAGTGGGATGTTTATTGCTAACCGGGACTCATGATAAAATAGTAAACTAGATCTGTTTAAAAAAAAAAAAAAAAAAAAAGCATTTTCTTATAAATAAGTCCGTGCTAAAGATTCTTTGAATTAATAAGATCAAATTATTAAAACTCTTTGTTTTAATAATAGCTTCTGTTTATCGTGACATACAACTCTTGAGAATTAACAAAGATTTTCGGAAACGGGGTGTTCTCAATCTGGATCCCGAATCTCAATCAAATTAAATCATTTCTTATTTTTTGGTTTGTTGCTTACTCGGTTTGATATTTCACATTCATAATTATGATATAGTGTGCTTATTCAAGAGTCTTTAATAAATAAATTCCATAATTTTCTTCTTTTTTTTTTTATGATTCACACAAAGGTTATGAAATTAGATCTTACTTTTAAATTGAAGATGCATTGCTTAACACAGTTTTACCCGTTGAAGGACGGAAAATAAAACAAAAAAATGTTATTTCTCATATTTCCTGAGATGATTGCATAAACAATACTGTTGTATTCTTTGTTTTCTCTAATGATGGTTATAGTTTCACTTATAAAAAGTTCAGAAATATTATTTAAAAAACAAAACAACTGTGCTGAAAAGAGACCCTGAAAATAATTAACATCTTTGCTTAATTTTTCAATATTATTAAAATTCGGGGGAAAAAATGCAAAATAAAAAACAATACAATGATTCTCATCATATTTATGTGATTATATTTTTAAGCATTTTTCGAATTCGCGCGTTTAATAAAATTCAACGTTGTGAAATTAACAAAAATAAAAAAACACTAAAAGTATTTGCAATGGATATTTTCTTTCACACACGTCAGGGAAACGTTATAGGATACTTTGTTTTATATATTTTATATCCATTGAAAAATCCCACTGGTGTGTGCGATTGCTGTGTCTGTTGATATGAGTTACAATAATTCACATCCATTGATTTTTATATTACGTGCCAAAACCAAGGATATCTTGCACTAGTTATCTCGTTTCCAATGACCAAAACACTGGTACAGAATAGAATCAAATTTTTAAAAAAATCTGCGGTGTGTTTGAGACCACCCAATAGAAGCGAAAACATCAACAAGGCGAGATTAATAATATGAAATGTAAATTTTTATTGTTCTATATTCAAAAGTAACCACATTTACAATATATAAAATTATAATTGTGTATAAATTACTATAGCAAATTTTGCTTTGACTGATCGCCATTTGTATTATAATCTAAAAATGATATAATAGGTTTATGATAACCAGGGATATCCTTTCCCCCCAAGGCCGAAGGCGCAAGAACCTACCCGCCCCCCTCCGCCTTTCAAAGATATTTTATTGCTCTCCTTTTCTTAGAAAAAGAGCAAGCTAATGTTGGATTAGAAAAATCGTAGATCATATACAACTTCACTCTGCTACGGCCTGCTCCATGTTTTTCTCTTGTCTCTCAGTCCGAAAATTCATAACCCCGTTGAAATTGTCCTCCCTAAAAGTTTAAAAAAAACCTTCAAAATATTTCACCCTCAAAAATTTTGATGGCTATGAAGCATCCTATTTATTTCTATAGTGTTTAAATATTGAGACATTTTAGTCCAAATGTTCGCTATCATTTCCCCTTTCCTAGTCTCTAAGTCGGCGTCTCGTCAAAATACTTTTTTGATTAATATCTGATTAAAAAGATAAAATTTTAAACATTTCCCTTTCTTACAGTATGCAATACTTGACGTGGCTATTACACTTTAGAGTAATTTGGAGGTTTTAATGTGACATTTTACATTCGCATACCTATATATGCAATATATAGTAGTAAGAGAAAGTATTGCGATCGTGAAAATTTTCGAATCTGAATTTTCAACGGATATACATGTTTTGAGGTTCTCTGACTTCAAATAACCAAGTATCGCAAAATGGTCTGTGTGTATGAAAACTCGCAACTGAAATTGCGTATTTAAGTTTTTACATGCCTGGATGTAAAATTTACATGCCTGGATGTTACAGCAACTTTTTCGCCAAAATCGGCTGACCGGAAGTGCCACTTTATATCAACAATTTTACAATGCTCTAAAACACGGCTATCGGGCTGAAGCCCCTCCCCAAAATGGTAAAATATAACCATGTTTTATGAAAAAAAATCTCTCTCAAAGTATTATTGTTCGCCTTATTATATTTAATAGTGCTTAAACACCACTTCATATAGATATTTAGTTTCTTTCTTTTTCCGAAGTAATTATCGTAATATATAGATCCAAAAAAAAAAAAAATCTTTGGGGCTGAAGCCCCAAAATTAAGTCCTTGGTCCGTTAGTGCAGATATCCGAAACCCTTTTGTACAGGACTTTCATATTGCTAATTTAACTTTTTTATATAACTTATCCACAATTTTTGAAAACGTTTTTTCTCGCAAAATATTGAGGATATACTAACATAAAATATTTACTAACTTAACATTTTGCGATTGTTTCGTGATGAATGTTTCCTGTAAAACTCAGAGATTTCTCAAAAGATTGATTTTTCCCTTTAAGATTCATCATTAGTATTTTTTCATACAGTCGTTAAAGGAAATGAAAACCTATAAATTTAATATATTTGAAGGGCGGAAAAACGTGGTGATTATTTTAAATAAAGTTATACTATCGTTTTCATTTGGCTTCCCAATACATGAGTAGCCTAACTACAGTAATGTTGGTAAGTGAAAGTTCGATGATGCTCAACCGTGCCCGATTTTTACTGTAATTGAGACTTCCGTTTCTCCGATTGAATTTTTTTATCTAAGAAATTTATGAGGCGACCATACAGATCCTGTCTATTCTATTCCATATTATTCCAGTTATGGTCCTGAAGATGGATTGGCCTGGAAGTGATGATGGGAAGTAGAAGGCTGGACAGCAACAGGTGGCTGCCCGTTAATGAATGGTAATCTAGTCAGCTGCGATTAGCCCGATATTCATCCCGCTCCTCACCTCTCTCTGATAGCGGTTCGGGCAAATAATTCAATGTCTTCACGTATACATACTATTACTAGTCCGTGGTACAGACCCTTTTTATCAAATTATTAACATCCGCCTGAATCGTAAGATAATTTGATTACAAAAACGAGAAAAAAAGTTGGCATTCAAAAATATTGAGCCTTTGACCTACACACCCAACTTGTCAAAATCATTAGGTTATATAGGACAAACTGTCCAATATTTTTGTAGGGCACCTTTTTTTATCGATTTTGTGATATAATTAAATTACGATCCAAGTGGAAAGCAAATGGGTATTTTCGAGTTTTTAGTACCTAATTAAATAGACAAAGTTTGGCCCCCCTCCAGATTGAAAACGCCTCAATTCCGAGAATTTTCGTAAATCTAATATTTAGCTTACGATAAGATGAAGATATAAGTTTTAGGCGGATGTTAATAATTTGATAAAAAGGGGTCTGTACCACGGACTATACATTTAGATACAGAAGTTTAACCATAAAAACTTTTGCTCCTGGATTAACATTTCTCATAGCTTTAAAATATGTGGTACTGAGCAGAAAATGTGTTTGCCTTTTTAAAGCATTTTCTTTCATGATACATGCTTTATTAATTATTAATAATTTTATTAATTGTATTTATCATTTATCCATTTTTGTTTTCAAATTATAGAATAGAAAATATAATTCCAACATTCTAATCTGCTTAATTAATTCGAAAAAATATCATTCCAAAAGTTTTAGGAATTGTTACGTTTAAAATTATTATTGCTATATAAAAAATATATATATATATATATATATATATATTATTCTAAACTCCATAGGATGTGGTGTTGAAAACGGGGGATACTCCAGAGTACGCTTTTTAGGTTTCCCCATTTCAAACGTAAATTTTAGTAATGAACATTACTAAAAAAAAGAAAAATACTGTTTGAAAAAGACTTACATATGTTATCTTCAAGGAATATATAAGCCCTTATATTTTCAACATTTTTTTATTATACATCCTATGACGTTTCGAGGGGATTATCTCATTATCAAGTCATCTCAATTATATTTATTTAATTAATGAGAGGAAAAAAATCAAAAGAATTAAGATTACTATGAGCACATTATTGGAAAATTCCAATTTCTATTAATAAATCATTCATTGTTTTGTAGTTGCTTCCATATGAATTACTCCGAGCTGCATTCCTCATCCATCTTAATCTCCTTGTCTTCATATCAGAAGATATTGATTGACCAGTTTCTGTGAGCAGTTCTTTATTTTTCTTTCTCCTCCATGCATTCGTACTCTGATCCCAGATCGTTCCGGTTGTCGTGCAGTAGATTTTTCTCACAAATCTTTTAATAATTCTTTCTAGGCTTGCTGGTAAGTGTCCACTCCTCGCGATGGTATATTAGAACTGGCTTAATCATATCATTGTACATCTTTAACTTGAGATTTTTTGAGATTTCGTTACGTTTCAATGAAAGAAGAAAGCTCCGTTTGTGCTTGTTATACACTGGTCTCTTTTAAATCGTTGTTCATTCATTGAGAATATTGTAGTATATCACTTACAAAATAAGCAGCCAATGTTTCGCTTATTTAAGATAGAAAATGAAAAGTCAAATAAATATCAATCAGCCAGTTTCACTTCAACAGCCAACAAAAATATAAAAAGAAATACTAAAAAAGATTTATGCCAATGATTTTAAGACAGGTTTTTGAATGCTACTGTATCTTTAATACTTTCGATGTTCCAACAGGCGGTGACGACGTCCAGCAGTTGTGCGAGGCTGGAGAAGAAGAGTTTCTGGAGATCATGGCGCTCGTCGGAATGGCCTCCAAGCCACTGCATGTCCGGAGGCTCCAGAAGGCTCTTCAAGAGTGGCTTACCAACCCCAGTAAGTGCTTAGTATATTATATAATAGTGTATAAGAATGTTTAGGGGTGTGTGATGGCAAAATATATTTGGGCGAAAATCCTAGATTTTGGTATGAAACGCAGGTGCTTGATTGGGTAAATTAATATTACTAGTGGTCCTAGAAAATGAATCTTAGCACCTATGTTCTAGTTACCTCAAGGTGGAAAACTTTAAATAGGTGCCAGGGTTTCGAAAAATAATCAATGGGACCTCTTGAACGTTTACTTTGCTCCTTCCACCAATAGCAGTATCAGTATTAGTGTAGGAGGCGTCGTGACTTCGGGTTCGCTAAGTGTTTTCTTATTATTATTATAATTTTTTATTAGTAAGTTAAATATAATATAAATAAGTTAGAAAAGAATATTTTCTTAAGCCCGGTTAAGGGAAAGGATATTTTCAAAATATAATAGGGAGATTAAGAAAGTTACTCTTGAAGTTGATCTTCAACTGCTACAAGAAGACCGATGAAATTTTGGTCTAGACTAAAATATTTGCTATTTTATTTTATTTTTATTTTGGCTTTTCTTTTACTTATTGTATGTTTTATTTTATTATTATTATTGTTTCATATATTCTATTGCAAAAATTTGAACTTTTCGATATTTCCCAATTTCTCAATTGTTTTACTTTAGTTTTATTTTATTATCCATTGTTTACTAATCTACAAATGATGATTAATTCATCTCATAATAAACACAATGTAACTTTAATAAAAACTATTTTATGTCCTTTAAACTATGTCCTTAGTTGATACACATATTACATGCTTAATGCATGTGCAAATTAACAGATATGCAACACGGTCTTCTTACATGGAATCTGTATCCTATTGCTTTATGGGAGAAGGAGAAAAATAAAATAAACACAATTAGACATTTCTTATAAGGTTTAAGCTTGTAGATACAGTTGAATGATTTAAGACGTTCCCAAGTGAATTTCGCTATGGAAGTTGTAAAACGTTGCTAAGAAAGAAATGTAAGAAGAAACAATACAAGACGGTAGAATCCTTCTTATCTAGCTGTTGCTATCTCTAAGTTCCCTTTCGAGACTGCAAGTAGGCCGGGCAATTACGCCAAGAATACTAAATCATGGAAGGTCCGATAAAACAAGAAGACTTGGGATGGGGAGGAATGAAGACAAACAGATAAGTGTAAAACATAGGTGAGGTGGAAAACAAAATAAATAAAGTAAAAAAAAAAAAAATAAAGAAAAAGCTTAATAAAGGACGAACCCATATAGGGCAGGACGGTATGGATCGTTTTTTAAATAAATATAATGGTGACCCTCGGCGTTAAGAAAGAGAGGAACGCCATCGCTGCTATAATAGTCAACTTGAACCCTGAAGAAAGATGAACCGAGAGTTTTAGAAAAAATAAAATAAAAATAAAAGATTTACAAAAAAAAAAAATGCGTCGACATTTCTCCCCAACCTTTCGACTCTTCTTCAAGTGCTGACGCCTTGTTTGACAAAACCTGGCTTTTTATGGGTTTCATTATATAAAGGAGAGGGATAGGCGTTTCTTTCTTTAATAGGAGAGAAAATGGAGAAAAAAAAATAAAGAAAATGTAAAAAAAATAAGCCAAAGAACTCAAGAGACATCTGTCTATTGCGCTCGCAACTCTGTTTTTGCCATTGCAATTTAATGGATCTGAAAAGCCTTATGATATTTATCATTTTCTTGAACAATCAGCTATTTAAAACATAGGTCGCATTTTTTAAATTTTATTCTTCGTTCGAATAAAACAATACCATATAGCTAGGGTGAACAATAATGCCTCCCTCTACTCACCTATTAAATATTTCAACTTCATCATAGGAATTCAACCGGTAAAACTAATGACACCACATTGACTTCAAATGGAGAACATATTTAAGAAACACCTGTGAGCATAATTTATCTGATCACTCTTGTGATTTTTCATTTTCAAATTTAAAAATTAATAATAATATATAGCAAGTTTTTTTAAAGAATTACTTAGCGTTTTAACAGTTGTGAAAAACATTTATGATCTTATATTTCATATTTTATTAAGATTATATAATTAATAGACATTAGTGATGAACAAATCTGCGTAGGTTGGCAAGTACTGTTTCTTATAATGTTGGTAATATTTCTATACCATCATATTCGGTGAGAAAATATCTCTGAAACGAAATATTTTATTTTATTTATCGAATTTTATCTTTAAAATTATAAGATGAACCTGAAAACATAAACAGTGAGGATCTCAACTATTTCATTTATGTTAGCATTGAACAGTATAAAATAACTATGCTTACAACCTTTTTTAGTTTTTTTATTTAACATGTAATGTTGCTATTTTTTTTATGTAACAGCATTGAGTGAGAAAAACAATTATTTTGTTCTTTCCCAAGAAGCTTGCCGAATCGGTTTAAGGTGTTTAGGAGGTCAATCGTAGGGATGTCGATATCAAACCGAAAAAAAGTATAAATATTTTATTTTTTTTTATAATACGTCGAATTGGTTATTCGGAAGAAAAAATAATCCATGAATAGATTTCGTATCATGGTAACATTGATTTCTTGACACAAAAATATCTATTATAAATATTTTCGTATGATATAAATGTATGAATGATATCGAAAAAACATCTAAAGTTTTTTCATTAAAATAAGATGATTATTTATCTTAAAAATTACAATTATATATACTATTGCTTGATTCCACACATAACAACCAACGTAGTTCAATTAAAATCTTGTAACTGCTTAAAAATTGTTATTTTCCCTTAGATGGTTATGATCAGTTTAAATCGTATCTATCTACCATATGAACGTAGGTGAATTAAAAACATTTACAATGCAATAATAGCAAATATTCCAATTTTTTATAACAAATACTTTATTATAAAATAGACAAATCACTACAGAACAGCGATACTTGGAACACATATTTCAGACCCTGTAAAACAATTTTTAGACTTATAATTATTATACATATATTGAAATTTAAATACCTCTATATCAAGGGATTAATCACTGGTGTCTCTTAATTCATAGGGTTATTGAAGTGTCTCTTATGTCCTGGGTTGGAGTGCCACTGTGGTAGGGAATTATATATATTTTTACGCCAGATGTACTCAATATACACAAGTTTGCTTGGTTGATAGTATGTGCCTAGTGTAATTATGTACCAGTTCAGATTATTGAGATATATATATATATATATATATATAATATATATATATATATATATATATATATATATATATATATATATATATATATATATACATATATATATTCACGAATAAATTAGTAATAGATGCGGGCTATTTTATATATTTATTTTTAATCATATATCAAAATCAATCCAGTAGATTAGAAGAATGAAAAGAAATACTCGAATATGATTTCAAAATATGTTTACAATAAATTTTCGAATTCTTAGGAATAAAAAAAATATCTACACTTCATAGCCACACTGAAACATTTTTATAACCTTCTTGTTTTAGATTTTACCTCTAGATTTTTTTTTAAACCTTGAATTTTTAAATTTCTGAATTTTTTATATATTCAAAAAACTTTCATATTGTAAGAGGTTAAAGAAAGAGTCGAGGAATAAATCATTCAGAATATTTATCTTTTACGAAATTGGGAACGGCATTTAGTCAGGCGACGTTTTAGTCCTTCACTTCCTTGTAGTCGAGACATATTTAATTTTTTTTTTTATGAATTTCAAAATTAAACCACCTTGAAAAAAATTCCTAACATAGGTACATAATTTGAGTAATGATTGGACGGCATTTAACAAAAAGGAACCAATCCATAAAATATACAGAAATGAAGTGGTTTTGAATAAGATTAATGTTTATTATTTTTAAAAAAATGGAAGAATCTCCAATAGAAAGTAGGAATAGAAATTATTGGATATAACATTTTTTTCCTTTATTTCAAATAAAAATATCACACCACAATAAAATTATTTTTTTATCAATTTATTGTTATAATAACAATATTTTGGGCTGGATGAAGTATAGAGAAAAACTGAGGCGGTAAAAAAAAAAATAAATACACTTTTTGAAAGTTAGCAGATTTACAAGACCATTTAACTTTGACTTGATTTAACTCGAAACTTGAATAATGGGTGTTCCCTTATGCTAATTACCGTATAAGTATTAGTGGTGTGGCAAAGGTACAAGTATAAGTCCAAATGTTGGATTATAGTATTACTTTCCAGCATAATAATCGTAAACGTACCAAGGTGTACCACCATGGTTTGAATACCGCCTCCATACCCCACATGACGCCCCCTCCGATGGTATCTTGGTCAACTGTTGCTCCAGCAGTTGGTACTTGACCTAGTTCAGAACCTACCCCATTATTCCTTCCAGGGCCAAGGTTATTGAAATCAAATGATAAGTCGGAATCTCCTTAATAACTTCTTGGGGTTACCATCTGTTGGCATTACCATCTGGTTCATCTTCTTCAGGACTGTCGTAGCCAGCTGCTTCTACGTCACGGCTCTTATACTAATTTTATTACCTTGATGTAACCCAGTTACCTCGATGTAAATTTCTTCACTTCCTGTTTTTTTTTTGTTTTTTTTAATATGTAGTACGAGAGAAAAGATATAATACTCATTGAGCGTAGTTTCGGTATACTTATTAGATTCTTTTGTTCGCACAATTCATTATACATATCAAGAAAATAAAATAAAATATAAATTTAACTATCTTGGGACTTTTTTAATTACACATAGACCAATACACAAATGCATCAAATAATAATTTTAAAAACTTAATTATTCATAGTTGATCAGGATATTAATTTATTGATTACAGTCTCTATAATTGTTTTGATAAAATTGTCATGCAATTATTATCATTTTCATGCTGTACCTTTATTTATCTCTTTAAAGGCATAAAAGATTGGAAGAGTGTTCATTCTTCGTCTCATATTTTATCTAAAATTATTATGAATTAATTGGAAATGGTTCGACTAGCCCTGATGATTAT